AATGAAGGTAAAGTGGAAGAAGCGATGGAACTGTCAAAAACCATTGAGGAGTACAAGAAAAAGAAAAGAGATCTCGAGGTTTGGTTTTTTTTTCACTTGTACAGAAGCTGAATTTTTGAGAAAAATACGAAATAAACCGTACGACACATGTTTGCTTGATACTGAACGAACTTGCAAGAGAAAGACAGCCTTGTACTAGTTAACAGTAATTTTTCAGAGTGTGCGGGAAAGATGCGTGCATGTTACAAAAAACTTGATTTATCAGTAAGTTTATGCAATACTGGCACACTTGAGAAACCGTTAATTCGAGTTTTGCCTGTGGGAAAGCCGGTCCCCATCTGTAATTCATTGACTTATCTGATTATTGCATGATTGTAGCATAAAAGTAATATGAAGAACGTAAAAAAGAAGGCAAGAATAGAACGAATTATGTAATACAAGAGGTGGAATATTGCTGGTACAGGAAAAATAAGTACAAGAGAGTTAAGATGCTTCGGTCTATGAAGTCATATACGTCTTAGCTCAACACCACGATTGGACCTCGTCAGTATGACGGTCGCAGTGTTCTGAGATGAGAAGAAGAAGAGGGAATGGAACGCAGGAAGAAAGAAGATAGGGACAGGAAGAATTTTTTTAAAAAGAATACATGTAGGGCATTTGAAAAGGATTAGAAGGTTGTGATGTAGAAGTGGAAAAGTGTCGAGAGGAGACGGGGATTGATAGTGTGGGAACCAACGTTCCTCATGGTCGTGACAAACCAGTCTCAATTCTTTTAGCTAGAAGCATCTGCCAGGAAAAACAGTGCCGTTAGCACAAAAATCTACGGGGAACTGTCTGCAAAAACGCATCTTCGCACTGGCAGCCAGTGCTCTGGCCAGTTGTTTTTTGATTGAAGGAATCACTGAAAAGTTAATATTTTTTTTTTCCTGTCAGCAAAGTACTGACTTTTACAGCTTCCTGCTTCGGTATAGAGTATTGACATTGGCGAAAACTGATTCCATGCTTCATTAATGTAAGAATTGTAACAGATAAAGTGGAGATTTTCTCTTTTTTTTTAATAAAAAGATTTACCAGAGTGATGTTTAGAATGACGTACGGACAGTGCTGAACACGCCTCAAGTAAGACTTCGAGTATGTGATATGTGTGGAGCGCAGCTCAGCCTGATGGAACATGAAACACGTCTAGCCGACCATTATGGCGGTAAAATGCATTGTGGAATGGAAGCGATTCGTGATCGGTACGAAGAAATGAAGGTAATCAGAATCATGCGTTAACATTTTAGAGATCGATGTTTCATGGATCCACAAAGGAATTTCCGCGATGCTTTCTGTTGCAAAAAGAACAGGATGTTGAAAGCAAGGAAACGAAGCTGCCGGTTAAACCCCTTCGCCTTGCCCAGTTGCTCTTCGATTCTATGTGATATGCAAATGTCCCGTCTCCTGACTTGAGTTCCTGACTCCGTGATACGTAATAATCTAATTGGAAGTGAGATGGCGATTGTTTTTTTGTGCAATAATATTGTGCGGCGGTAGCACCCTTCCATACATAATTGTACGGCGGTGGCATGGAGCTACTTGTCG